AAAGTTGCTTCAGTGTGCGACACTCTGCACATTCTGCTTGGGTAGACAACAGTGTCGAATAGTTCATTACAACGATAAAACTGAACAGTTTATCTTCAGATTTAAACGAATAAACTAACACTGACTGGCAGTACTCCCCAGTCTTCAGTGACTATGAGAGACAGATATATGTCATAAACTTATCCGACGTGAGACGGAAAGATGAGAAGTTATTGAAAAACGGAAACGACGTGGTTGCGATTCATTTCACAATTTTAGAGTTCTACAAATCTGCACGAGTCATCAGGTGCCGGAATGAATTGAACAGAATGATGCACTAACCCAGATATACTTGTAAACATATAAACGACACTATTATTACATTCGTAATTACGGTGATAAAGTTATGATAATAACTATAACAAGAATAACAGGTTGAATATGCCAAATAAGATTACACAATATGCACAGTTTTCGGCCTAGTTTATTGCATAGCTATTTCTTTAAATACAGCTGTTCAAAGAAGAACACCTATCTGCAGCGCATCTGCGTCTCACTGATGAAACAGCTGAAGAGGAAAGTGATCCTCTAGTGTATTTTTCTTTTGTCCAAGAGAAAAGAGAAGCAAAAATTTAGAGCTGATTCGCTATGTGTGTGAGAACACTTGACGAACCACGGTCATAACTGAGTGATTATCAGAACATTGCCTAGAGAAAACAAGACTAATTAAACGAACGCAGATTCAGGTAGCCCAGTGATTCGGACAAGCCGCTTTATATCTGTTGTTTGCCAAGAATTTCTTCTTAACTTGAAATATGTCACTTTATCTTTGTCTTCCATCCATCCATCCATCCATCCAAACAAACAAACACATGCATGCATACATACAAACATACATACATACATAATATATATGAACATACACACATATATACATACATAGATTACCTGAAAAACGGTTTCCCGGAAAATGTCACAAACAGCAATTACCATTATACGTGTTTTATTTCAACAGGTACTCATTGACTTGACACAAGCGAATGCTAGTAAACACTGATGCCTCAGTTAAGACCCCATTGAAACAATTCTCATGTAGAAAGGTTAACATGGTATACGACGAGATGACGTGTGACAAATATAACACAGTATTATGACACACCATGCATGTACTTTGGAGTACGATAGCCGCCAGATGCACTTGATGCAATCATCTCTATGGCGGCGATTGAGCCGGTAAATAGAGAAGAAGCGCTGTACGGCTAGCGACCACACCCCATGGAAATAAACACCACTGCTACTGGAAATTATCATCTCAAGCTTGAATCCCTAAATCCCGTACGAGGGAAAAGGAATAAGTAATTAAAATGCAAGATGCATAATACAAGATGAGATTCAACTAACATTCCATTCCAGATCTCACTACAACTGTCTTCAATAAAGTGTCGCAAAGCTGCACTCTACATACTCAAAGAAACCACACACACTCCTAACTATGATGAAGCCTGTAAAATGCAATACCATTTAACACACGCCGTTCTCCAATGAACGTCTTCAGTTATGCAGCCGTAAATGCAGACATTCGATGGACAGCGACATCACGAAGAACCCAGTTAAGCAGGAAGTATGCAAAACAAAATAGGTATAATATTATTTTTTCTGCAATGTCACATACAAGCTTCACACACCAGTATGATAAACGACATGTAGGTAGATGATGGTGTCTAGGCGATTGTCGACGGTGTATTCATGAATACAGAATGTGAAGAGCCACAAGACAGAGTGAAACTACAACACCACGTTTATTCATAAACAGTGAAACCAAGTAAACCGCGTAGACTCGCCTAGTTAACTAGCTTGCTAGTTTTCTAGTTGGTTGTGAGCCTGCGTAAAGACGTAGGGTTGGAAACCCTTCACCAACAAATATTCCAAACCGCCAGAGAGACTTCAAAACACGGAGAATGTATTGAAAATACTAAAATTTTAAATAACAACAATCCAATTCTTCGCTGGAATAGGAGAGGCGAAATGACACAGTGGGCTGCTAAAAACTTTAGGAAAGCGAGTCAGCGAATTTGTGTTCTTTCGATGAAAGCAAGATTAAAAAATGGGTACGTGCAGTGTCCGTACAATGTACGAGACTGAGAAGGCTTCCCAGGTAGCCAAAAAGAGATACAAAGATATGTGTTAGAAGTACTGAGTATCTGCAGAGGCAGATGGAATGCATGCAGATTGACAGCATTGTCAAAAGGAGAGTCAATGACCTACTGCAATCTGCTCACCCAGATGACGACCACGAGCACACTGAGGCGCCGAGTGGCTATCATCATGTCACCAGTGTCAGCCAAAGCACTAATGCAGTGGGAACCAGTTTCATCCAAGATCGTGACAGCAAGATTCAACTCCAAAGGAAGCAGGGTAACAACTATCCAATGCTACACACTTACAAACAACACGGAACAGGAAAAGAAGGAGGAGGAGGACAACATCTCAAATGGAGACATCAAAATCCTCATGGGCGATATGAATGCAAGCCAAGCTGGGAGCAGATAATACAGGAAGAGAATTCGTCTCGGGTATTCTTGGTCTCTGGCTCGGAGAAATGAATGAGAACGGAGAATTATTCGCAGACTTCTGCTCTTTCAACGATTTGTTGGTCGGAGGGAGCGTGTACAAGCACAAGGATATACACAAAGTAACATGGATTTCGCCTGATGGACATACCACAAACCAAATAGATTTCATCTCCATGTTGCTCAAGGAAGTGGAGACGCAGCTGGCCTTCTGTATACAAAGTCAAGAAGGAGAGCACATTTCGACTAAAACCATCACCTAGTTCAAAGAAATTTCAATGTGAAGCTGAAATCCATGAAAACAAATGGAGACAGACCACTGAAACTGTAGAACAAAACTACAACGGACGCCTCCGCTACAGATATCAGAACAAAGACAGACGAAAACAAGTTGAGGGCATTGCAAATTACAGTGGATTATCTATTACACACTCAATATCTGGATTCTGATGTGTGTAGGTTTGTGAACATTGAATTGGGCATTGCTAACAATTCAAATATTCTCTACCCCTAACAAAGTGCTTTTCAAGGAACAGGGTTGATAGCATCGCGACTGACATTCTCTGTTTATCAGGCTTATTATCCACACCAGGAGGTGACTGACTGCATCGAGGAGAGGTCAAATACCCGAACACTGGGGTGTTTCACCACTGTTCTACCACTGAATCACTGACACTGATCTACTACTCGTGGAAATGTACACAATCCCATATCGATGAACTCTCTCAATGGACGGACTCAGTCACAGAAACATCATGAAACACACATGAATGATAACGTTTGAGCTGATTATAAGTTTCGTGTCATCGAAGTAATTTACTGTCCTACGTGTCTCCGTTCACTGCATTGGATGCGTATTGACCAGCCGTTTTAGAACTTCCGAATGACCCAGAATCACAAAAACGTGAAAATAACTGAGACGTGTTTAGATTTAGTGAAAACACAAACGTGATTTAGTACCGGGTAAAAGGATCGTCATTACTCACATGATATTGTTTACGTGTTATGTAAAGAGAGATTAGAATAATTATTTTCTCGATACACCTTATGAGGTTATTCTGCATCAAAGCATATATATATATGTGTGAATAAATTGGTGAGATTAAGATTACTCGAATTTCAACCCCACCGTCATGAATGCATACGTTCTGTTGGCTGTCCTCTGCTTCCCTTTAATGTGTATTGGTGGAGTCCCACCACAAACAAGTGAGTTGGACATTTCATTCTCATTGTATTACAAATGATGTCGCTTCATATTCGTACGACTACAACACTCACACTGAATAGATGTATTTGTGAAATCATGTGGGGGTGGTTTTCTCATTCCTCAGAATTCCGAATGAAATGTGGTGCTCGAAGATTGAGCTTTGGTGGTCTCAGCGACAATGAAGACTTTCACAGCGGTGGATTTGCCTTCCTCACGCCCAATGTTTCGTCTTTCCTTGAGGGTTGTATCGACTCCACGAGGTTTATGACTTGGTCATCAAAGTGACATTGAACCACAGACGTGATTTCGTTTCCGTCAATCTTGATTCACAGTTAGCAGGGTTCAATTAAACTTCATCAGTGCAGATAGAGATGATAAGAACACCTCCACGCATGTGCATAAATCTTTTGACAAAGTTCGATGGATTGAGATGTCTCTAGCACAGAAGAATTACGGAATGTGCACAATGATGTAATGAAATTCTCTGTGGTCCAGAAGAAGGTCTGAGTGAGATTCGTCACGGTGATACTCGAGACGCCTGCATACCTCAAATTCTCATTGTATAGTGAGGAGAATTGGTAGGCCGATCTTGTTGGTAGCCACAAAAACACGTAAAGTCAGCAGTAACACTAGTGCACGACAATAGTTAAAGCCCTATATTTGACTCGGAACACACATGAATGCTGAAAATCGAATGAACAGATTGACTCATTGATTTCCGTATGCATGAAGGTGCAAATACAGTCTTCTTTTAAGCAGATGATACACACTCTATTGTGTAGTCGCCTGGGTAATTCCATGACATTGGAGGCACTCTCTGTCGGGTCGGATCATCAACATTCATTGTTGCACATCATGCACACTGACGTTGTGAATATCGGATTGAGTGAAATGCACATTCTGAATACCGATTATCAGGCATCATCACGAATTTGAGTTTATTGGGGAAATACACTGTCACGCCCAATCGTCGCTCACTCTTCACCCAAATATCACGTTTCTGAGTTTCCATTTAATGGGTGGATCCATTCAAAGAACCCTTGTGGATGGACTCAGATGACTTAGCCTTGATACACATGACAGATTTCGCACAACTCAGGATTTGACCAACACGCATTTTGTGAGTGGGACTTATTCGGCAGTGATGATTCAGATCAGGGCGACGATTGAGTGCTGACTTATCAGCTGTGAGTTCATTGCTCGAATCAATCAACCTCATCACTTCGAACAAATCCCTTCCACTTACACATCGCCTCACTCTTATGAAACGCCCACAGAAACTTTAATTCATGATGAGGAGTGTGCAATTACACTACACACACACATATATATATATATATATTATATATCTTTGTCTTTTCTTCCATTTAGTCAGTGCATCATCTTGTGGAGAGTTGGGTCGATGGTGTGACCGGACAATTTTCCATCCTTGCTGCGATGGCCTGGTTTGCAGGTTGGAAGGATTCGCCAATGGAAAGTGTGTTAAATGTCTGGAGAACGATTTTCTCTGTTTGGCTAATTCTGAGTGTTGCAGTGGATATTGTTATTTCTCTAAATGTGTCAGTTCATCAATAAATGCGAACAGATTGTCATCGTGAGCATACGATTCGAGTAGGATGTCAGGCTGATTTGTGCTGAGATTTGTGCACGTCAAGTTGATGTTGATTTTAAATATATCTCTTTGTTCACAGTAAAGACTTTGTCAACGCTTTTCATATAAGAGTAAAACTTGGGAATTGTGGAAGCGTAGAACTAACTCCATTATGGATAAGATTGTATTTTCATAAATCACACAGTGTCGTACAGTGATGATAATTGACGACGTTTCAAGCACAAACTATTGGTGATAATCATATCAATCCCTCCGAAAACGTTTTACTTCATGTGCATACATGAGTGAAATTGATTAGACATTTGCATAACAATCAATATAAGAAAATGAACACTCAGAAATAACACTAATTCTGTTTCTGAATGTACATTTTCTGATTCAAATGTCTGATCAGTTTCACTCGTGAAGTTAACATTTGTGTGAGTTAATTGATGATGATTATTATTCTCTTGCGTTTCGAGTGGAACATACGATCCGTCTCCACTTTCTCCTACATATTTGTTGAGCGGTCGACTCTTGGTTGGTTTCTTCTCATAGTTACATGTTTCTTATTCTCTCTGGAGATGTGATCTTCAGTATGGAGAGAAGAGAGATGTTGATGAAAGTCTCCAATTGTCTGTTGGTAATACTTTTCGTGACTTGCGAAATTTCTGACCCGTGTAGAAGAACCGACTTCACATTACTGCTGAAAAAGCGATTCGTCTTGTTATGCATAGTGTGGAAGTTTTTTAATACGCTTCGTCTTGACGAAGGCGCATCGTGCATTTCCGATTTTAACTGGCTACCCTGTTAATCGAAAGAGGCAACGTCTGTTAAGTTTCTTCTGTTGATTGTGATTTGTGCTGGCTGTTGTTGGTCGGTTATATTTATCACCTCCATTTACTTTGATTCGTGTCTCCTCAACATCATCGGCGAGTTTGTTGGTTTTCGCTTTCAAATCCTCGAGTTTTATTACAATAAACATGGATCAACTGAGAAATCCAATTCTTCTGGAGTCTTCTCATCGGTTTCATCCTGCAGCTGATTGACTCGACCAATCTAATCACCTACTAAATATGGATGAAAATGAGGGATTGTACATGCAGCCGTGTACATGTACGCTTCACGCATCAGTCATTGTAGATCATGTTTTATTGCAAAAGTGATTTTCCGTAGATTGACATCACTCAAAACCACACACCCGAAGTGATCAGTTTTCACATCGATACACAGATACTGAATTTATTCAACGCGATTCCACAAACTTCATCAATACCAAGCATCCTAAGGTTACGAATTGACCGATTTGGTAGCTGTTGTTTTAAATGGTGGTATGATCTCAAACCTCGGTCTGTCGCATAACATGACCTGATCTATCATTATTCATCTCTGCTGCTGTTCATCACTCCACCATCGGTTCAATCATACACCAATCAGTGAACAATCAATGGCAGTGAATTTCATGTCTCTGTGTTTCTGCCAACTGTGGAACAAGCGGGGCAGTGCACTTCCATTTGTATAGAACCACGAGCTGTACACCAAACTGAGAGCCATCCTGGGAGCTGATGGATACAACTCTTTAAATAAATGCACACCACTTGTATTCCATTTTTCTACTTATCCCTCGCCACACGAGTCGAGTTGAGAAACCTGTACATTATTTTGTGCTTCACCTCTGATATTTACCACCTCTCCTGAGATAGTATTATAACAGCTGCCTCACTCTATCAGGTCACATTTGCGTTTTCATTATTCACAGACGATACTCAAGTAACATTTCCCCATACGTTGCACATAGTCATGACAAATTCCATGGAGAATAATCATAATAACATTGAACAAATTTTCCATTGATGAAAGATGGTGCTCGCATTTGTTAATGCTGGTCAAAGCTACTGAAGCTGAGTAAACAGTGATACGAAAACTGGGAGGTTCCCAGTAACACAGCTAAGGATGCATGCTTGTGCTATGCATGCGAAAGTGTGTGAAGGATAATATCTTTCTCTCATGAAAAAAGAATACTGGTGAATATTGCCAGTCAGTGTTAAGTGTGCTCACTGAAATCTGAAGATAAAGTGTTCAGTGTTATCGCTGTGGTGAACAATTTGACACTGTTGTCTAACCGAGCAGAATATACGCCGAGAAATTCGTACACAGATGCAACATATCAGGATGCCTCTGTCTGGGTACATTCAAAGGTGTAAAAATACAGGAGATGTCTATTCCAATGATTTGTGATAGGCAGAAATGTGAGGAGGAATGAATAACAAGATGGAAGCAGGAGACGTTTCAATTGAAGTGGAAGATCAAAATGAGTGATTGAATCTGTGCCAGTGAGAATGACTTTGAGTCGTATGATCAACAGTTAACAGACATCGATTCTAGGCATCCCGAAGACTCAGACCAGGTACTCTTCACACCCCTGCGTGACTAGTTCGAACGGAAAGTGAAAGACTTCATAGATTTTTGAAAGGTTTGAATTCGATCACCCTCTCGCTGTTTTCCACCTTGGTCTTAAGTCTCCTCGCACATATCAGCAAGAAAGCCAGTGGTTGTGTGTGCGTAACACGTGTACTGGTCATTGCAATAGATGCACATTCACAGCCTCACAGATCCACTTACGTATCTTACATTATACTCTACGTCTAAACTCGGTGATGCTCGCCACACTTCACCCGTCACATTCGAGATAGAATGCAGACCTCTGGGGTAAATGAAAGCCAGTTTTTGCAAGGTTTCCACATCAGCGAATATGAACATTTCATTATTGAATGAGGGTAGTAAGACAATAATCACAGTGAATTATCACACACTTTCGCATGCATAGCACAAGCATGCATCCTTAGCTGTGTTACTGGGAACCTCCCAGTTTTCGTATCACTGTTTACTCAGCTTCAGTAGCTTTGACCAGCATTAACAAATGCGAGCACCATCTTTCATCAATGGAAAATTTGTTCAATGTTATTATGATTATTCTCCATGGAATTTGTCATGACTATGTGCAACGTATGGGGAAATGTTACTTGAGTATCGTCTGTGAATAATGAAAACGCAAATGTGACCTGATAGAGTGAGGCAGCTGCTATAATACTATCTCAGGAGAGGTGGTAAATATCAGAGGTGAAGCACAAAATAATGTACAGGTTTCTCAACTCGACTCGTGTGGCGAGGGATAAGTAGAGGAATGGAATACAAGTGGTGTGCATTTATTTAAAGAGTTGTATCCATCAGCTCCCAGGATGGCTTTCAGTTTGGTGTACAGCTCGTGGTTCTATACAAATGGAAGTGCACTGCCCCGCTTGTTCCACAGTTGGCAGAAACACAGAGACATGAAATTCACTGCCATTGATTGTTCACTGATTGGTGTATGATTGAACCGATGGTGGAGTGATGAACAGCAGCAGAGATGAATAATGATAGATCAGGTCATGTTATGCGACAGACCGAGGTTTGAGATCATACCACCATTTAAAACAACAGCTACCAAATCGGTCAATTCGTAACCTTAGGATGCTTGGTATTGATGAAGTTTGTGGAATCGCGTTGAATAAATTCAGTATCTGTGTATCGATGTGAAAACTGATCACTTCGGGTGTGTGGTTTTGAGTGATGTCAATCTACGGAAAATCACTTTTGCAATAAAACATGATCTACAATGACTGATGCGTGAAGCGTACATGTACACGGCTGCATGTACAATCCCTCATTTTCATCCATATTTAGTAGGTGATTAGATTGGTCGAGTCAACCACCTGCAGGATGAAACCTGCCTGTTGGGAAGCTGTGTGGAATGATTGGCTTCATTGTGTATATGACAGCTGAACTGAACAATGAAAAGTTGAAATGTTCATAATATATTTGATGCATACAAAAGCTACGCGACTTTTCACATCAATGAAAAATAGGCGCGTGTACATGTTGTGGCGTTTGCTGCTGTGATAGGACTTTTCACTAGTAAGTAAGGGATGTCCAGCGTAATCACAAGATAGACGCTGTGAAATCAGAACAGGTAAAAACGATGGGATGTATAACCATAGATATCAACGGTTAAGTAAAGTGTAGAGGAAGATAGTACGCGGTTAGATTTGGGTCAGGTTCACGAGAACTCCTTCCGAAGTCGGAGGGAACATACACTGTCACAGAGGGACATGGTCCTGTTTATATCGTCAAAAAAGAAAATAATTAGAAACAGGATAACATCAATCAACTGCAGAAATGGATTTGAGTGGGATAAGGAATCCAGAACCAAGCTTCAAGAGGAAAGGATAAATCCAAATAGGTCGAAGCGGCTTCCCTGAAAACTGACTGATACGGAGACGAGTGTGACATGTGCTACTGATACAATTTATCAGTGGAATGCAAAAAGACGTTCATCAGCATGAATTCATCCAATAGCAAATAACATCAGAGAAAGCAAATTATATATCGTTGTGAAAATAAAATGAATACACGAAAAGTTAACACTATGAAGGACAGAAGCAGCATAGCGCGGAAGATCTGTGCAAACGGTGCTGATGGCCATCACTGATCTTAGGAGGAAGGAGGTCTTCCTGGAGATTCAGATGAGAGGCCAGTGATATTCGACACCTAAAAGTGTGAAGCTTTCAGGTGACAGCGAGGCCTGTAAGGTATCAGTTGGGTGATTGGTGGCAGACTTCGACAGACCAATGGAGAGGCAGCTGGCGATGCTGCAGTTCCGTGTCGAGAAGTCAGGAACGGATGGGGACTCGCTAGTGTTGGCAGTGAAGCTGATGAATCTACTAAGCCGTGCACTCCTCACATCGAGTGAACAGTCGAATTCGCAGCTACTGGAATACATGCTCATCGAAAGTGTCCCAGACCACATTTCACAGCGACCAAAACTTGTTCACGCTGAACAACCCATGGATATCAGTGAACTAGTCAAGGTGACGAGATAGCTATCGAGCACAACGGTAGCCACAATAGAACCATCGAAATCGGACGAATGTGAACCGAATGTTGAAGATTCGCAGCCTGAAGTAGCAGCACTACAAAGGAGTGACAGTGAACACGGATGCCCTGAATGTGACAAAGTGGGACACTGGAGGAAACATTGGCCAGAAAGAAGGGTAAGAAATCATTT